AAGAATTGCTCATGAAAATTTCTTTCCAATTGCAGCCAATTATATATCGAATTGGGTGGCAATGACGTGAACCAAGTAAAAGCACTCTTAGTCAAAGAACTAGGAAAATATTTCATTTTTAATTCTTCACTCATCGCTAAATCCCCACATTCGATCTGATATCGAGCCACATGCTCGATAGTCGATTCACCAACTTCTCCAGCAAATTTAGTGAATTTGGGTACTTTATATCCTCAAGGCAATTCTGTCTCGAGAATCGCATTCGGAAAGGGAGACACAAAATATGTCTGATTGGGTGGTCTTAATTCCATCCCTTGTAAATTCATCCTCTGTCCTATCATGTTATTCTGATTGTGTATATTTTGAAATCTTTCGTTCAAATTCCCATAAATGTCATTCCTCACATGTTGGTATTCATTTCCCATATGCTGATGTTGATCATTGTTTCTATTTCTCCTCAATAGATATGGGGGATTAATATTAGTATTCTGATTAGCATGATTTTCTATCCTCGTTTGTCGAGGTACAGCCAATGCATCCCCGATTCGTGACATTTGGTCTGCTAATATCTCAAAACTAGCAGTAGTGTTTTGCACTAATGGATTTAAGACTGTGGTCAACTGCTGTGAAAACATATTCACCATTTCAAAATTACTCTCATCCATTTGTTGTCTAAGTACCCCTAATGAATTACTAGATATTCCGGTACCCATGTTTTCGATAGAATCAAAATTAGATCGATGATAGTCTCTATCGAATACATATCTCCCATGATCTAAGTTTCCCCTATGATCTAGATTTGGAGGTATTTGTTGTGTGCCTACATTCTGTCCACTCCCTGAATTCTGGGGAATTACTAAGTTTTGAGATGTCCCTAAATTCGGAGGGATTCCAAAATTTTGCGGCATACCTAGTGTTTGGGGCATTCCTAAGTTATATCTCGAATTCCTATGTGTTGAAGAAGTTCCAGCCCCACTCACATTATTAAGTGAAAACCCGGGCGGTCTTACACTCATATGTGGCCCTACATATGTGGTTTTGGGATTTCCCACAGTTTGCATATTATTTGGTACCACCACACTAGATCCTACTTGGGTATTTGCTAAAGTGCCTGAATTTTGTTCATTACTCACGGGTATCGACATACTTACAGTTGTCGATACTACCGGTGTATTCCCATTATGACTTTGCCCCCCAGTATTTGGTGGGTGTGACCCATTTAATCCCTCACTGTTACTCTGGTTACTTGATGAACTCTAACTCATGACTCTCCCACTCCTTAATCTCATACACTCTCGAACTAACCAATTTTGTGTTTCTCAACACAAGACGTCCCCTACCTGGCGCGCCAATTTGTTTCCGGTGGAATTTCGATCGATTTCGATTCTAAAGGTCCTAATCAAAATTCTACCACGTAAGTTCTTTTTACTTAGGCTAGCAATTTGACTTTCAATCGAAGACGTGTATGAGAATCGGACAGGATATCGAAAGTGCTATTTTTTAGTATTTTATATTTAAAATACCGAAAGCAGTAAAAGTATCGAATCGAGAAACGGAATATTAAATTACGAGGAAATGTAAAGTACGAAAACCCCAAATTTGCATTAATTGTAAATGACAAGAAATCGAAAACAGCGCAAAAATGACAAAAATTGAGATTGCAAGAAAAGTAACTGACAGGAAATCGAGATTTGCAGAATGTTAAATGACAGGGAAACTTAAATGCAGAACATTAAACTTTCATTGAATTGAAATGACAAGGAATCGAAAGTACAGAAACGTAAAACCGCTAAAATTAAGTTGCATCAAAGTAAATTACCAGGAAAAATACAGAAAGCGGTAAATGTACTCAGTGAGCAAGGAAATCCAGATTGCTAGAAGCTTCATGGTGTTCGTCGTTTCTCCGGTAGACTTTTCACTACTGATTCTGTTTTCTGCCAATTTCCCCCCCCCCCTCCTCCTTTGTTCCTTCCTCCTTTGCTCTATTTATAGGGCATTGTTCAAACCCTCCAAGAGCAGTTAACACGACTGCTACCACGTTCTACGTGCGTATGGCAGTTTATCTTCTATAGTTTCCCACGTTCTCACGATCTTCGACTTTTTTCCATGGTTTTGAAACCGCTCTCTATACGTACGTTTGACTTACTTCCTTTCACGATTTGGCCAAGGTCTCGATGTCCACATTGGCTTTCTTCACTCTCGATTTTGTGTTTTCGAGAACTTCAAATTGCTTACGATTCCTTTTTAACCTTGGTCTCATATGACTTAGTTTTTATTCGACAACAGGCATTTGGTTATCATTCACTCGATTCTCGATTGTGCTTCTCGATGCTATATGCTACGTACTTCTAATTAGACATCAAATGAATTTTTGTTTATCTTATCGAGTCACATATTTTTCCTTCATTTTCGATCGCTTTTATCGATTTGCCACTAACAGGTAGGTAACATCCAACAAGAGCTTATAAGTTGTATGATCTTATCAAGAAGAATATTAGCATTAGCAAAAATGTTATAGTTGATGACAAAGTCAACTAAGATTGGAATTCGATGGAGAAAAACAAGAATATTAGTTTTAATATTTATTATGATGAAGAAATTGAGGGAAGAGATAAATCAATTCTAGAAATCGAAAAAAAGAGAAAATTGATAGATTTAATAAATTGACACAAGAAGAAGGATGAAGAATAAAGTGAGAATGAAAAAGCTTGGACCTCTGACAAAGTTTTTAAATAATGGAAGATTTGAATAATTTAGGAAAGACTTAAATGTAAAATTTATTTGTTAAATTAGTGGGTTACGTTGGATAATAATTTAATTCCGAAAAGAGTGTAGTTAAACATATAAATAATAATAATTCAATTACTTTTTTTTTTTTAATACTTCTCTTGATACTATTTTTCTTATTCGATGCTTTGTCAAGGACCTTTGCTTCCTAAATAGGTTTCTCAACTTTTTCTATAAACAACAAGACAATTATAAAATTAGGTTCAAGAATTAAACTCATTCAATTTTAAATTTTGACATTATTATCTTAATAAAAATATTTCTTTCAATTAATTATATTAAATATCCATAAAATACTCATTATGAAAATAATATCCTCATTTTATATTATATTAGATGAATTTATGAATAACATTTATTAATGTCGTGGTAAAAGACTTTTTATGATAAAACAGAGATATACACATAAATACATATTGACTTAAGCTTGTATGTCAATCTACCTATTTTTTTCCATTCAACCAAGTTTTTTGCAGGTGAATCTTCTTAATTTTTCTCAGTCAACCAAGCTTAGACCAAATCCATATAATTCGATTTATGAAGCTGATTATTTGTGATCAATATTGATTGATTCGAGACATTTTACATTGTTTTTGTTGTAACTTTTTTTACAAGAAAAAAATATCAATAAAAAGTAAAATCAAAACATAAATAAACGAACATACACCGCCAATATTAATAAAAATGTTTCTAAAGCAAAGAGTTTCATTAAATTAAGTTATACATAAACATATTTCAATTTTCGTCTTATTTTCTTCTTCTAAAATATATTACAAAGAAATTCTTCTCTTAATCTATATAGTTATACAATTTCATTTATTTATTTCATTTTTATACTTTAAAAACCTTTAGGATACTAATATTTTATTCTATAAATACGTGTAATATACTTTTCATTCATTAAATATAAATATTATTTTTATATTTTAATTGACTAATTTTGATTATATAATATAATTTATTAGGATTTCGTCTTCAAAGAAAAATAGTAGATTGAAGGTACATTGTATTTTTTTTTTTATAAAAGAATAATGTTCAAGGTATGTTTGAATCGAAAGTAATATATATATATATATATATATATATATATATATATATATATATATATATATATATATATATAATTTCTTTATTTATATAAAATAATAAATACATTTTATACACCTACAAATAATCTAATTATATTAATTTAAAAATTTTCCATTAGTCATGTCATCAGTAAATTAATTAAAATGGTAAAAACTAAAAAAAGTAACAAACTTATACAATAACTAAACAAGAAAAAAAAATTGTTTTAGAACTTAGAACATATTTAAATATTTATTTTAAAATAACCTTTTTGAAATATCCAACAAATAATTTATCAAAATCAGCTTTAAGTCCGTTTGAATTAACTTCGTAAAAATTTTTAATACAAAGGTAAAATAAAATAAACTTATACATAAATTTATTTATACAAATTCTTTCATTTAATTTCAACAATTTTACTTTTAACTTGTCCAAAAACTAATTTTTTCTTTAAGAAAAAATCAATTTTACTTTTTGTTCATATTTCTCTTCCAGAAATCCCGAGGAAAAACTAGTGGAATCAGATGATTTGTCATGTCATGTTACAAACCCATCCATGGTGACTACTTATACACTACACCCGTTAATGAAGAAATCATCCACAAAAGACAACTCATCTTCCTTGTAGCCCCACGCCCGTCAACCAGGAGGTTCAAGTTCTATTTAATAACAGGATGGTACATTTGGTGCAGGTAGTAACTTGAAGCTATTGAATCAAGGCTGATCTAAAGTTTAATCTTACCAAATCTGACTGTTTTGGATTCAATCATAGAATCAATCCAACGAAACGATAAATATCTTTCACATTTACTACAAGTAACAAACTTTGACATTTACTATTTGATCAAAATTCCCTTCATAGCTACACAACAAAATACAGGTTCACAGACATTGAACATAAGCCAACCAAAGTACAAGTTGCAAAAAGTAAATACACTTCACGGACGTTCCGGATGTTGATCAGCTATCTACACATGTACACGAAGATCAGGGGAGGCTCCAGCTACCAATTTAAGTAAGGCAGCATCACTGCATTGAGTATCTTTAGAAGGTCAAGGATATTTTAATAGAAAGCATTGTAACTTAAATATTCAAGCATCAGTTCTCCTCATGCTGAAATGTCTCACATTTGCCAAAAATCATAATTATTGATCATGATCTTGATCATATTCAGAAAACTCACTACCACCTGAAAATTCATAATGGTGATAATCATCATCAGACAAGAAATCTATGTCAGAGATCCCAGAAGGGTAATCTTCATCAAGTGATCCATAATCAATTTCAGCATCAAACGGGAACTCATCAACGGGATTATATGGAAGCCGTAACTCTTTAATCTGTTCAGCACATCTCTTCCCCAAACTTCCTCCCAACTTAACATTGAAACACTGTCTTAAGTCAAGCGATTCAAGGTGAGGACAGCCATCAAGAATAGCAAGCAGGCCATCATTAGTCAGTTTGTTTCCGAAAAGCTGGAGATGACGTAACCCATGCATGGTTTCTGCAATAGCAAATGCCTCCTCATCACACTCAATGTGTGGACGTCTGTAACTTTCCATGTTGAATTTCAGTGATTTTAAGAGAGGGCAACTCCTGCCAATAGCTTCCAGAGAATCCTTGGTTATGTTGCTGATTGACATATCGAGTTCCTCCAACTGAGGAAGCTTGTTTGCAACTTCACACAATCCTTTGTCTGAAATCTGATAGCAACATGCAAGACGTAGGCACTGTAGACTATTTGTACTGGGAAATGGCAAGAAAATGCAGGGGTGAAGTGTGTTAAATAAAGATGCAACCAAAAGATCTGGCATGACATTGGTGAACAAACTATATGGAGACTCTACTACCACAACATCTGCTGTAGCCTGTAGCTTTGGAAACAATCTAAACTGTCAAATTTCTTCATTAAATATATAAGCTTTGAAAGTTCCTTGTTAAATATTTAAGGAATGAACATTTTACAACTCAACAAGTAAAAAGCAACTGTGTTCTGACATGGGAATAGATCCGCTGGACTCTCATGTCAAATTTTAACATGATATGCCCATGTTCAAATAATATATCTAAGTCTCTCCTGGTGGACATTAAATAAGTCCAAGGCCTATATATATATATATATATATATATATATATATATATATATATATATATAATCGGAAGAGAGATACGATATAAGAAAATGGTCACTCATGCACATTAGTAGAGGATCCATTCCCATTATGACACACATCACACCTACACATCCATTCTATATATATATATATGACATCCCCCATGCTGAAACCAAAGACAATTGGAAGTTCCGTTAAATCAGTGTATCATCTATCAAACAACATTTAGTTATTACTATCCATAGTTTGAAGACAGGAAACAAGAAATGTAGTTTTGAATTATAATAGAAAAAAATAAAGGAAGTAAATTAAACTTTGCCCTCGTCCTATTGCAAAAAAGAAGAAGCCAAAAAAAAAAAAAAAAAAAACTACAGGACAATGGAATCAAATGCTTCTGTCTATTGATTCCATGAAGACATGCTAAGAACAACACTCTTGGACTTTTTTAAAACTTCCTCTATTCAGTGGGTAAATCTTCGTGTCAATGACAATAGCATTGTTTGGATAAAGTTCTGTATCTATTCATAGGAAAAGAAAATAAGAAGGAATAAGTAAAGGAACTTCTCCAAAAGATAAAATAAGCTTATGCACTGAGAAACACTAAAAACTTACCTTTAACTTGTGCATTAAGCTACGGAGAAGTTTATTTCAGTAGTCCTTCTTATTTCCCTATCTTATACATAAGTTTATCCACACATGCCCTCGAACGGAGTTTAACTCAATAACAAGTCCTCCAAGTTCCACAGTAATTTAAATGTTTGCATGCAAGCCGTTGTGTACTTAACATCCACGAGGCAACAAGCAAGTAGGTAAGGTTTGAGAATTTAAGGAACAGAAAAGTGCTAAACGCGACGAAAGCATGGAATAGAAGAGGGAAGTGGAGCTCACGAATCGGTGATGTGGCGGAGGAGATCATCGGTGCCGAAATTCTCGATGTTGATATGGAGCAAGTGGCCGCAACTATAGTCAATTGCGCGGCGGCACATGATGCCTAACTGGAAGTCCATGTCGCCGGAATTGCTCATGTCGATGGTACGCCACAGGAGAGGGTCCTTCGAAATGGAGCGCCACACAGAGCACACGTGCTGGGCGCGCTTGAGGGTTTCGATTGCACCGAGCTTCTGGAAAATGGTACACAGCACGTCTCGCGGAAGATCCATCCAGTTTCGTTCTTCATACTCCGCTACTACCGACTTCAATGACGACGACGACTCCATTGAAGAATTGAGAGAGAGAATTTACCGATTTTCGTTTTACCCTTTCGTTCATAGAATGCAAAGACAATACTTAAAGAACATTATTTTATTTTTTTTTATGAGGCAGGCTGAAGCCCGTTTGTAAGTGTTTTCGGTGTTACAAAGCCCAGTGAAAGATTCTGGGTTGAGGCTTTTGTGCGTTCTCTATCAACAAGCCAACTTTGTTGAAAAGTTGGAATATGGATTGGGCTAGCCCACTATCTTCACTTCAGTAATCCACTCCCAAACGACCCAAAAGAATAAAAATAACATAAGGAATTGCATTTGTAATTTATGTAGCGCAGGACCTGCATGTAAAATAATGTTTATATATAATTTAGAGGACAAAATTCATGTACTCTCTAGAAAGAATTTATTATTATTATATATATATATATATATATAAAAATAATTATAGAAACTTTAATTTCCTAATTTAATATGTTAAATAGTTAAGTAATCATTAACTTAATATAATCAATTATTCATTTATAATAATTAATTTACTTTATTAAGATGGATGCTGCATTTTGATGGTAGGGGTGATTTCAGATTTGGCAAAACTGGTGTTTTTTAAGGCCATTATGACAGTTGGAGAAGGAGAAGGCAATGCAATATCACAGTCCTTCATTTGGTTGATTAACCAGAATCTTTTCAATGTTATTGTAAAATCTGATTGCAAAGTAATTATAGATCAGATTCTTAATAATGAGGAAGCATCAATGAGAGTTGATATAGATCATAACAAAACTAGAGTTCTTAAGATTATATCCATCCTACATAATACAATTTGTTAGGAGACAAGTTACTTTTATGACTCATTTTAGCTAAGAATTCAATTTTGTTTGATTCTCAGCAGATTTTCACTGTAATGCCTCATTGTATTTGTAGCTCTATAGTAATGGAAAGTATCTGATTTTATGAATGTACAAAGGAAAAAGATAAAACCATAAAGTATGTGTCAGTCAGTAATTAATTTAATTCATAAAATGAGATTGACAGTGCCAACAATATTTTTTTATCTAGTTTGTTGGTTTAATTAATGAACTGATTGATTTTTTTTTTTAAATAAGATCTCAAATAATTTAAATTATATATATATATATATATATATATATATATATATATATATGTTATTGAAAAATTATACTTCAAGTAAATGTACTTCAATTTCATTTCTTATGTTTTAAAAGTGGCCCATAAAAGGTTGAATTCGTTTTTTAAAAACTAAGTTAAAAGTAAAATATACAGACTGTCTTCATAGAATATATCTTTAATAACTTTTTTTTAAATAATTATTTAATCTAATTATAATATAATATTACACATGAACAAATAATATATTATTAATAAATAATAAATAAATATAAAAGAATAAAAAATTAAATTTGTAAATATACAAATAAGTATGGTTAATAATTATTGGAAATGTAAATATCATAAATATAAATATAAGTTATAGAATAATCACTGAATTTTGGAAGAAAAATCATAAATACTTGAAGGAATAATAACCCCTTATCTCCTAAGAAAACTCTGTTACTACTTAGGGATGATAATTAAACTCGTCACTGTGACAACTAATCTGTCTCGTTCCAAGTTTGACAAGAAAAAATCAAGTTAATCTAGAGCGGGGATGAGTTCGAAATTTTCCCCACTTTAAAAAGTTAGAAATGGGTAATGCAATCCCCACCTTAGTCTCGTTCCAGTCTCCTGTCTTGATATTATATTTAAATTTAAATTTTAAAATATTAATATTTTAAAAGTATTTTATTTTATTTTTACATTACATATAAGGTTATTTTTTTTATATTTCACCATTTTTTATTTTTCTTTTACCCCCACTTTTTAATTTTTGTACTTTTTTTAATCTTTTATATCAATTAGTTCATTATATTATTTTTTTCTCCTACTTTTTACTTTTTCACATTTTCCAGTAATCTCTTTAATTAATTTGTCTTCTTCAATCAATTTGATGAACACAAAGTTAATTCTTCTTATTCTTTATCTTTTTCTAAATATTTTACATAAATATTAATAGTAACTAATATTATTTTATTTATAATTTATCTTTATTAGGTTTTATCATGTCAAATTTTTTTATCTTATTATTTTTATTTATCATATATCAAATTTTATCTTAATAAAATAATTTTATTTTAAAAGATTAAAAAGAATTGATAATTTAAACTTTTATCACTTTGAAATAATTAAATAAGAATTAATTTATAAAATATTTTGTTTATAAACTAAGTATTTCATATTTTTAAATGACAACTTAAAAGAGAATTAACTTATATATAATCAAATTTTGAATACAATATTATAATAATAATATTTTGAATAGATATAATAATAATAATAATAATGTTATAAGTATTCTATATCCGTATAAAGAAACAAATAATTAAATGTTTCTTTTATATTTTTTTTAATATAAATATAATAAATTAAAATATATATATATATTTAATTAATAATAATTACAAATTATAAATATTTATTTATGTATAAAAAATACATGAAAATAGTAAAATTAATTTATTATAAATATAATTATTTTTTTTAAATAATGTAGATCGGGTACTGAGTGAGACAGGAAAACACGAAACCCAACAGGAATAGGATGGAGACTTAATTTATAATGCCAACAGGATCAAAGACGAGAACGGTTAAGGAGGTGAAAATCGGGAGGCAAAACCCGTCCCGTTCCATTATCATGCCTAACTACTTCATTCGTATATAACTTACCTATTAATAGTGATTATATTAATAATTAAAATTATATTTATAGTTATATATGACCGTTATTTATTTATTTATATATATATATATATATATATATATTACAAAAAAGAAGTATAAAAGAATATCAACGACTAAATAACTATTTTACGTTAAAATAAAGCTATATTAGTATAAATTATGTAAATAAAAGAGGATAAAAATATTTTATTACATAATTATTTTAAAAAAGAGAGAATTTAATTTAATTTAATTTAATTAAAAGAGAAAGAGAAAACCAATGAAAAAGTCAAACTCTAGACAATATTTGCGCATCAACAAAGGACTAGTCCATCACCTATTTGAACTAACACCATCATATAATATACTATATTAGAAGCCACAAAATAATGCCATCAACTTTTTCATACAATAAAAGATAAAAAGGAAAAGAGAATAAGGAAAACAAACTTCATAAAAGTAATCTTTCTTTCTTGAATCGTTGTGCACATATAACATTGAAAAAAAAAAAAGAATTCTTCTGTTGTTCATCCTTCTTCTTTATGTTTCAATAGTGTTATTTGTTTATAACATCTTTTGTCATATATTTTTTTAGTTTGTTATTGGATATAACATGGATCGTGTCCGAGCATATTCATCACCACAATTTCTTTCTTCAAATAACTTACATGAATTACAAGAAGATGAAAAAGAATGCGGATTGGGAGGTAATTTCTTTCATGTCTGATCTCCTTTGAGTTTTATTTTGTTCCATTTTGGATCTAAAAGAACATGTTCTATCCTCTTAAAATGTTAAGATAAAAATGAACTAGAACTCTTCAATTGATTAATCTTTTCCTACATAGAGATAAGTTTTTTTATGCCACAAATATTACTTATTAATATGATGATCCTTCTTGTTCACTTTTATTACTAGCATAATCTTATATATCCCATTAGGTTAGACATTTGTGAATAAAAATGTGATCCTTTTTAATGTTTTATTTTCTGTATAGGCATTGCTACAAATGTTAAATTGTTACTGAAGCTAATTCAAGATCAAAATGAGTCTAGCACAAAAGAAAATGATGAGCGAAAGTATCAAAGGGTGAATGGAATGATGTTTATCCTAGATGAGGTTAGGGCTAGGATTCAAAAGATTCAATCTACAACCAAGAGAAGAGCTGAACTTAGGAGATGTAACACTGACCTTAGGTCTAACTTTCCTCCTCCCAAGGACAAAAAACTTCCCCTTGATATGTCTGTAGATGAGAAAGAGAGGCTCAAAAGAGAGCTTAACGCTAGTTTGGTGGCACGGCAAAGCCTTCAAGCATTATGTTCGAGTTTGGGAAAAGAAAAACAAATTATGGCTGCTGAACTTGCAAGAAAGGCTCAAGAGTTGACAGAACTTGAGGACCTCATTAATGATCTAAAGGCACAAAATGACATGTTGATGGAGAAGTTGCATGCATGTAGCTCTGATCAAAAGGAGAAGAAGAGTAATGGGGTGGAAATGGAATGTAACATGGTGCTAAGAGAACGCAACAAGATACTTTCAGAACAACTCCAAAAGTCCATTGAAAGTTATCGATCTTTGAAGAAAAGAATTAGAGATATTCAAGAGGAAAATAGACAAATTCGTGACACGATTGAACAAATGGATGAGGAAGTTGATGTAGACATTAAAAGGATAAGTAGCTTCAAGGAAGGAAGGATGAGAACTAATGTAGGAAAAAATGATATAAAAGAAGAAATTTTAGTTTGGGAACATATGCTTGATTCTCTCAAAATAAAAACCTCCAAACATACACATAAGAGAGCTTGATGTGATTTACCAAAAGCTCGTTTTCTTGATTGGTGGGATAAAGAAGAGAAGCATAATTTGGAGAAATGTTGTATAACATGCTCTTGTTCACTTCTTTCCTACATTATCTATTTTCATATATAGGATGCATGCTCTTAAAACAACACTAGAAAGGGGTTACAAAGTCATCAATCAAATTGAGTTGAACATCACTATTATGTAGTTTAGTAATAAACCATTACCTAGGCTTGTATAAGAAAATTATTATTAAAATTATATCATTTTGACTGAAAATAAGTTATGTTAGTGAAATTTATAAACTAGGTGTTACAATAATAATTGCAAACTGAGTTTTTCTTAGTTAATTTTTTGAATGATTTATTAAATTTATCTCTTTCTACCCCTAATTGATTTGAAACTTGATGAAACTTTAATCATGTGAAGAAAATTTCTAACATGCCTTGAAAATCATGTTAATAAATATTATAATATGTTGTATCATTTACCAAAGAAAATTATGATTACAATTGTATAATTAATATTAAAGATAAATCTATGTCTGATAAATTCTTGTATGAAAATAACATAATATTGAATAAATACGAGTACTTCAAATTCGTTTAGAATTTTGCTCATTTTATAAAAAATTCTAATTAAAAAAATTATTTTTAGAATAAACTTCTCAAGAGACATTTCATGAATAGTTTAAATTATGACCGCGCATAAAATAAAATAAAAATTCAATTAAGATAACATCAATTACTCAACCTTTCTTATTGGATTAATAATTTGTATAATTAAGATTCAATAGTTAATAAGTTTGTCCCAGATAACTACTGAACAGTAATCCAGAAATAAACCCTACACCATGGAGTTCTATTTGAAGTTTCAAGGTCAAATCATCTACACAAAACATGAAATGTTTGAAGATTGATTGCACAGTATGTTAATAAAATATATATTCCCAATGAAACACAACCCGAGCGAGATATAGTCGCTCAAGCGAAACACAACCCGAGACTCAAGAAATTAAAATATGGTTGTATATGATAGCGGTTCCATTGGAACCGCTATCTAATATACACTTTAGATAGCGGTTACAGAGGAACCGCTATTATATCCTCCAATTATGATCGATCATTTCAAATTATAATCGATCAGGATCTTTTTTCGCTCGAGCGAGATATAGTCGCTCGAGTGAAATGCAACCCGAGATCGAATCTTAAAATATTTTTTTGAATATTATGTTTTTTAATTTGCTATTAGAGAAAACCTTTCGAATTCAAAATGTTAAATAATTTTAAATATTAAAATTAACTTTATCAAAAATTAGGGAAACAAAATTTATCCAAAAGAGTTCAAAATGTATAAGAGTATTCTCAATTTTGAGTTTAATTATATTATTAATTCTTAAAGTAGAAAATTATATTGTAATTATTTTATCTCAAGTTAATGTGATGAGACGATCATCAACATTTCAACATTCGGAGTCGATATATGGGACATCTTCGTCTCTCCCAAGTTGTTCATGTTCTTGAGTGGAAGTGATTGAATGATCTGAACTGGAGGACTTGATCGCAAAAAATGAATAACATTATAATTATTTGTTTGAAGAGCATTAGTGTGCATAGGTTTATAATTTTAGTAATGTTTCATTTAATTATTATTCTATTTTCACTGTATTTTATATTTGTTTTAAATAATAATGTACAATTATATTATTAGTTTTCATAATTATTTGTTATTATCAATCAATATTAATTATTATTTTATATTTTATAATTATTTAATTATTAGTCAAATAATTTATTTAATATGTTAACATTATTTGAATATGGATATGCAATGTACATAATTTTGTAATTGTTTATTTATATAATTTTTAATAACTATCTAAAAAAAGTTAATTTTTTAAATTTGTTTCCAATTACAAACACTTTTAATTTTGTTTTTTCTTTTAAATATATAATCAATGTTAAAATATGGATAATTAATTAAAAATTTATATTTATAATCATTTGAACCTTATTTTATACAAAGGGTAAAATGGTAATTTTTTTAAATAATCAACATAAAATTATAATTTTTATATCTCATATTAATCAAATCATTCACAATTTCCCATAAACTTTCCTTTCACTTTTTAATCATCTCCATTTCTCTTCAAATCCCTCCTTTTCCACTCTCTCAATTCCACTCTCTCAAATTACTCCAACCAAACAAAGCCTAAATGTTCCTATGAAGATGGAAAACTTCAAATCCTGTATCACCAGGCTCGCACCAGTCTTTGTACAAATCAAGGCACATAAAAAGGTTCTTTGATGATAAGATTAACTCCACGTTTGGTTCGGTGTTTGAACCACAGGATGCGCATTATTTACGTGAATATGATAAGTTAGCTTATTGGGAAATGAAATGGATACCCAAAATTTTTGTAAATTACATTACTATTTTAATCTTAATATTTTTAAAATTTTATCTTCATTAAACTTAATAATTATTAAATATATTTATTTATATATTTATAAATTTAATTTCTTATTTTTATATTTTTTTTATTATTTATTAATAATATATTATTTAACTTCAATAAGATTAATTATCAAAATCAACCATAGCTTTTATTTTGACTGGAAAAATTATGTGAATATGTAAAACGCAAAAGCCATACCAAACATTCAAAAATTTTACTAACCTACGATAACGCAAATAAAGGATGTTCCACCCGACAGGTGACAATGAAAAGTGATCCTAGACCGTCGTTATACATGGCACCAACAATTGGCAGTTTCAGAACATTCACGTGACATTTTGTTACTAAAAGGGCATAGTTCTTGCATAGAGACGTGTTTGCATTTTGCTATCAAAAAGTATAGATTGAAATTTAACCATGGAATATGGTTTCAAAAACAATTATCACCCCAGCGAGGATATACATGAAACATGATTCTGAGTATATATTATGACTCTAAAATATTTTGTTCAATAATATCGTCAATAGTGTTTTGAATATGATAATTAAAGATAATGAGAAAAAAAATCAGTTTAAGATCATATGCATGTAAATTATCTTAATATTCAAGTCTCATCGAGCAAGGCATTGCAGTTTGCAGGCTGCAATTGAATTCAGAATCCATGTATTAGTTACTACCTTTGAGCCTGTAGAACTTGCCAGAACCTCTGCATCATGACACCTTTGGCTGCAAATTGTATCTGTTTTTGAAGGCACACAGTTATCAGGCAGCTCGAGACTGTAAAGTATGAGGGTTTGGTATGGATGCCTATCTGGTAACATTGATTTTTGGTCACCAGACACTGGTTTTCTATGCAGAATTATCCCTCCAGCAGCAACCACAAGGTCTTGCAGATACCCCTTGTATGAAGGTATAAAATCTCCCATAAAATAAAACTTGTAGCCATCAAAAAGCTTTGGTTGCTGCATAACAAATTGTCAACACTACCATTAGTTTGAAAACAAGAATTTAGTGAAACAGACCACAATCATGGTATAAATTATCCAATGCATAACTCTTTGTCATTCTAACACGTGAGCTAATTTGTAAGGAAATTAAGGGAAACTAGAAAGGTAGTGAATGGAAGAATAAAAATTGACTTTCAAATTCCTCTAATTCTAGCTCGTCCTTTTTTCTACTGCCAAACACAGACAAAGTCTATACAATACTTAACAGCTACTTGCATCTAATTTCTTGTCAACGATAACTGTGACTATTTGAAAGCATGCTGCTTCAGAATGGTTTATTGCATTGCATCTAATTCTTGGTCTTAACAGTAACTGAGGTTCTCTTATATTCTGCTTTGCAGATATTTAGGTCTCTGCTTATGCTTCTGAAGAATGATTTCTCTAGTTTTCCATTACTTACCGGGAGTGGTACATAATACTAAATGGGATCAAAATTACAAAATCAATACAGTCTCTGAATCAATAGAAGAAACAAAATCTGAGACAGCAATGACAACCAGAAGGAACATTATTGCTGTGTTTTCTTTTGCCTTCAAATCACTTCCTTGTAGCAATAGTAATATAGTAATAATAATGACAATGAAAAATCTAACCTTGTTCAATACTCTTAGTCGTCCAAGACGAGGACCATCCCTAATTCCGTGGATGTCAACATTAATTTCATAACGCTCTTCATCAACAGGATTCAGTTCCTTCGTGCAAGCTTTGATCCCTGCTAAGCCAAAAACCAACCAAAAAACCCCATTATATTATAAGAAAACGGAAGAAATTCAGACATTTATCATAATCTTATGATGGGGACTTCGTAGTAGAAAATGAAAAGGACTGAACTTACAGTCAACTTTGAGAATCCACTTTCCCTCCAGGATACCCAACAATACTTTCAGGGTCCTTCTGCATGCCCCATTTTCATCCGTTGATGCTATGACATGGGTGACAGTTGAGTCCCAATTTTTCAAAACTGCAACTTTCGACATACTTACGAATTTGGAAACAATTTCCTTCAATTTCAACAATAAAAGAAAAAACAATAAATAAACTTATTTAATGAAAAATAATATAATTAGAAACTAAATGGAATTATTTACCTTCTCATGTACGGATAGAGCAGAACAACATAGTACAATTTTCTTGTAAGATTTATGAGCAGGCCGAATTGGAGTTTGACTTGTAGTATCAAGATTAGGACCATGGTTTTTGTCATCTATACAAGGGCATTTCTTGCTCCTTTTTTGGGATCCTGAACCTTCACAGGGCAATGTGGAGGAAGCATGTATAGGGCATAACATGACGAAGTTTTGCTGTGGTAATTTAGTAGATTTGAATTAGGCCTTTAATCTGAAAATAGTACTTAATTTCAAATGTGGGTCGTTTTTCATCACATACCGCATCCCAACGACATAGAGAAGTCCACTTGGCACAAGGAACATGAAAGCTCCTGCGACAACTTTTCTCATAACAACCAAGTGCAGCCCCTTTAAGTCCACAAAAACTACATTTAATTCTTCGACTTCTACTTATCTCAGCTTCCAGATTGATTGCATTATCACCATCAAAATATACATTGGGGGCCCTGTGAATATTCAAACACATTACTTAATCTTAAATTCAAACTAGAGCCACTTACCAAAATCAATCAAACTAAAATCCATGTTAGCAAGAATTTAATCATTTGAAGGGCGATAGATATCAGAATAAGAACACATCTTAAGAACAAGAGCAAGCCCAAAATACCAAGACGACTATATTATTCCTGTAACAATTTTTTACCATTCTGTGCAGTTCCTGTGACAATGCGTGACTGTAGACCCCCCTTCATAATCAGCAGTTACAGGCTTGCCATCAAAGTAATGCACCATAGGGCCAGAAGCCTGTATTTGGAATTACATGCTGTAAGTTCAAGTCCAATTATAGTGATGACAAGACAAGCAAGTAAACAGAATTACCTCTGACTCTTCTGATGAGAGACAGAAAACACATTGATACATTTTGACATTACTCTGACATTTCCTTAAAACTGTTTTGTCCATCAACGATGTATCATTCAACTCCCTGACATTAGGACCTTGATGAATATTTTCATTAGGTAGAATTTCTTCATCGTTATTAGTAATAGAGGTGCATAAAGAGGAAAGTTTTCGCCTTTTAGTAGTTCTCAATTCTCTAGAAAACATGTTTTTGCCTTGCTTGCTTTTAGAGCTCTTCACATTATCATCTGTCTGCAGATTGAAAATGGATGAAGCAGAACCAGCAAACTTATTGGTTTGATCCATATTTTGTTTTGCAGATCTTCTCTTCTGGCTTATTCCAACAATCTCCCGAGGACAATGCTTCTCATTTTCTTGTTTACATGGCGAAGTACATAAATTTGTAACAATCTTTTCACCAATGCTTAGAACTCCACACGTATCAGGCACTGTGCATGCACTTGTAGATGATGGAATTGAACTGGTATTGAAACAAACCGTCTTGCCCCTTCTACTAGCCTTCCCCAGATTAGAAGATATGTGTTTATAGTCCAATGCTTGTTCCTGAGTGACTGCTAATGATATATTTGCATCAACATGCATTCCATCAATTGAGCTTTTTGGTTCGCCAATCTGCTCCTGCCTAATTTTATTCCAAGCCTTCCTGCCTCTTTTCCTAGACTTCGTTTTTCCCTTTATATCAGCATAACTTCTAATTTGAGCAGACACACTCGGTGGTAATACATCAGATGTTTTATTTCCTTTTGGATTCTCAAACCTTATGTTGTCAGCATTAGAATTTGACAGATTTGTGTCCCTCTCTTGAGAGGCCGCCACCAATTCATCTTGATTGTCATCATCCTCATACGTATCCATGACCTGCAGCTAAGAAGCAAATAATTAAAACATCAATAAGTAGGCAATACATATAATCCTTACTTATGTATGAATATCTTGTCGCTTCAATACTCTGATTACCTGAATTTTAGAGGGACTTGAAAATAATTCAGGAGAGCAAGGTCTCTGTGTCCATTCAAACATCTCACTATCAAATAAATTAACAGAGATTTGATTTTGCACCCCATCCTGCACGACAGTGTTAAGAAAATGTCATTGATGTAATTTAATATTGATATTATCAGTATTAGTCAGCTTGAGCAATGCAGCCTGTTTTTATGCCAAACCGGCAAAAATTGAACGTCTCAAAAAATAACAGTTAGTTAACCAAATTTTAGGTTTTAATGACTTCAACATAGCTTGCCTCACTCAATAATCCAGTAGTCAATTACGTTAAAGAAAAATACTTAAAATGTAGATGAAACGTATGGCTAAATGTCAAATAGTTTTTAGTCACATAAAATGCACAACTAGGAAAAAAATGTTTAATCATTCTCTATAATCTACAGGCTTGTTAATACAGTACTTACGAATGGAGCAACATTAGAATTGTTGTCATCATCCGAGTCCTTCAGATCACTAAATGAAGGAGGATTTGGTGTTAAGCCGTCAATAATTTGATCATCATCAGTGGGTTGACTCAACTTCTCACCATCTTTTTCCTCTCTCAACCAAAAGAAAGGTGAAAGAACAGGAGCAGATTTTTCACTTAGTAGAGGCCTTTCACTTTCCATGATTGGAACCTTTTCCATCCCTTCTATCTCTTTGTTAATTTCACTAGGTGAATCTCCAAGCTTCAAATTCTTCATTGGAGTCTCTGAAAGAATATTTTGTGGCACGTGCACCCTTTTCTTTGCTGGAAAAGAAGGCTTTGGTAAGCCAGAACCTGAACTTCCCATGCTGATCTGGCACGTCACCTTCGACTTCTTTATCCTCCGGGTTTTCTTCTCCTGCACATGACCTGTATGAGATCCACCAGCTTCCACCTTGCCAGAGTCGGCATTACCCTCACATTGTTTTTCTCCATCTGCGATCAAATTTTATGCATAGGTTAAAAAAAAGTACAGCCCATTCACCAAGGCACGCTCCTCAATTGTTAGCAACTACACATGCAAATGCAGGCAAATTAAAAACAGTATATGATAGACTAACTGATACATGAACTGAAAAGGGTACAATCACCTGATAATTTAGCATCAGGTACATTCTGGGTGACAAATATATTAATTCCTGAAGCAACTTCCATGCTTTTGTATATATTGACCAAGTTATCCATATGAGGAGCGGGACGAACCTCTGCACAAAAATTACATTTAACCAGTTCATTAGCAAATATAACTAAAACGGACTGAGAAATTCGGTTCGACGATTAACATTACGAATTTAATTTGTAATTTAAAACAAAATAAATCGGTGATGTGAATGTGAAATTAGGGTTGAATAAGCAAGCGAGGGCAAGAAACGTACCCCGACGAGTGAACGGAATTTTACAGACAGGACAAGCAGAGGCCAATTTCATGGACTTGATAATACACGAGCTGAATGCAAAACAAAATTAGGTTCAATTAGTGATGTTATTGAAAAGAAAAGGTCAAAGAAGAAGTGTGAATTGAAAAGAACGTGGAGAGTGAGTGCATTTACTTGCAGAAAAGATGATTGCAGGTGAGCGAAACCGCAGAATCGATCAAACTCCAACTGTACGAACAATGCAACGTGAATGAAACAGGAAGGGCAACAGAAACAGAAACAGGGGCGAAATGAAAAAGAAAAAAAAAAAAAAGGAAGAAGAAAAAGAATATTGATGATTGTAACTACCAGATTGGACATTTGAGTTCTCTGCCCATTCTCTCTAAATCCCCCATCGCGATGTCTCAAACGCAGACACTAGCAAGAACAACACAACTCATAGGAGGAATGAAGCTCTTACTTTTAACCATGATTTTGAATTTTAGAAGGCGCGCGTTTTTCACGCGCCAATTTGGTTTTACCCCTGTATCTGAAATTGAAACCTTCTTCTACACACCAATATTTATTCCTCAATGATGAATATGCTATGAAATTACAATTATTTATTTATTATTTTGGGTAGCTTCTCAGTACGATTAGTTTTTATTTGGTTTAATTACTTACTTCTGTCTTAGGCGAGCAACATTTTATTTTGAGAAAAAATTACCAATAAATATGTTTTTAAATTATTTTTGCATGTTGAAAGTGAACAAACAAATTATATGTAAATATTATAAATTATCTTAAATTCAATATTTCAAATAATTATTGCAAATTTAATAATATGAGAATTTATTATAGATATTTATTTATTTATTTTGTTTAAAAAAATAGTTTCTCCTCCTGTTTTCTCAATTTCCGTATTCCGTCCTCTGACTTATTTAAAAAATAATAATAATTTATTTTAAACAAATTCTAAAATTTTTTACGAATAAAAAATATTTTATTATAGCTTTTACACAAAAAGTATTGACAATAAATATATATATATATATATATATATATATATATATATATATATTAATTTTATATTTTAGGGGCTTGATCATCAATTTAACAAGGCTTTTATTGCAGTAGCAGTGACGTCTTGGATTATTAATCTCGTTGATGACACCTATGCATGTACTAGTATCGTATACATGATATTACGTGAGCATACATAAAATTAAAATTTAATCATTTCATAAGAACTAACAATATTAATTTTTATTTTTAGAGAAATAAAATAAATAATTACATAAAAAACAAATTTGTAATTTATTTAATTTATAACGATTAATAAAATTAAAAATATTTTTTTTCTTATTAAAAATGCTTTATATTATGCTTTTTACAAAACTGTTGAGATGAGAAAATAACTTATGTGTTGATAATATAAAGAATTTTAGCTCTATATTTCAATCATAAATTATAATGGAAATTTAAAAAAATCATTTACTTTAAGAATAATAATTAAATATTTATTTATTTTAAATCATTATATTATTAAAAAAAGTATCTAAACGATATATATATATATATATATATATATATATATATATATATATATATATAATTTAATGAATTATTTTAGAGATGTTTTAAAAGTCCATAATCGTAGTATGTTCTGTGTAAATTCCTTTAAACAAAATACATTTTGAATATACTTTTAACGTAATTTTTAGTAAATGTCTTTTGTAAAATTATTGATTAATAATTACACTGCTACAGATATATCTTTCAACGTCGGTTATATAAGGCTTTCAACGTCTGTTATACAACCGACATTGTATCAGGCGACGTTGAAAGTGTATAAGTATACACTTTCAACGTCGGTTCTCTATACCCGACGTTGAAAGTTTTGGCTTTCAACGTCGGTTATTCATACCCGACGTTGAAAGTGTATACTCGTCGCTCAAGCGAGTATACTCGTCGCTCAAGCGAGTATACTCGTCGCTCAAGCGAAATTGAACCGAGAGACCCCTTTGTTTGAAGCTTTCATCGCTTAAGCGAGTACACTCGTTGCTCAAGCGAGTACACTCGTCGCTCAAGCGAGATGGAACCCGAGAGTCCCCATTGTTTGAAGCTTTCGTCGCTTAAGCGAGTACACTCGTCGCTCAAGCGAGATGGAACCCGAGAGTCCCCTTTGTTTGAAGCTTTCGTCGCTAAGCGATTACACTCGTCGCTCAAGCGAGATGGAACCCGAGAGTCCCCTTTGTTTGAAGCTTTCGTCGCTTAAGCGAGTGCACTATTCGCTCAAGCGAGATGGAACCCGAGAGTCCCCTTTGTTTGAAGCTGTCGTCGCTCAAGCGAGTACACTCGTCGCTCAAGCGAGTACGGGTTTACTACGTCGGTTATGGTATGAACCGACGTAGAAAGTCTATTTTTTTTTTAAATGGACGCTTTGTTTATACTGGGTACCCAATGTTTGTATATATACATACCGCAAATTTGAATACAACCCAGTGCAGACAATGTACAAGATATAAACAATTGAATGTGCATCCAAAAATAAAATTGTATCCAAAATTATTGTGTATCCAACTACTTATCTACCAAATACACTAACTACTAATCTAACTAATAAACTAACTAGTAAATTAACTAGTAAAGTAACTAAACTAACTACTAAACTAACAACTAAACTAACTACTAAACTAAGTACTAAATTAATAACTAAACTTGCCTACTTCTAACTTTAACAAACTTATCGGCCCATGTGTTTCTAATATCAGTCAATGGTCTCTATGGGCAATGCTTCCCTGTCTGAAAATACCGTTACAAGAAAAAAGATAATTTAACGAGTATCCAATGACACAATACTTGGGTCTTTTATTGAATACTAAATTTAAGCAAACCCGATTCCATGTATCCTCAATATTGCTAACAACAATCAGCCACATCCAATGGCATAACATAATATCCGCACTCATAAGATCCTGGTTGCCTATTACACTACAAAATATAATATATTAATTTGACATATAAAATGAATGATATAATACATAAATATAAAAGGACTTACATTAACAAAAATCCAATCTGAGTCGTGTTTTTGCTTGTGTGTACTCCATCAATTGTATTGCAAACCTTAAATGCACTCGTGCAATACAAGATATAATAAAACAATTAAGTAACAAAACAATTAATAATTGTTTAAATTATTATAAGAATGTGTACTCGTTTACAATGTTTTTAAGATCTGCATCGAGTTTCTTGCCCGAGTGAGCGGAACCAAGCCACAACATTCACGCTTTGGGCAAACAACCAACAACCGTCAATGATTTACGCTTACATTACAAAAAGTTAGGATAATACAATACACTATAAAATTTAATACGAATAATTTCATACGCTTAAATACTTACCGATGGTGGTAAGCACCCAAGTAAACTTTCTTCCTTGACTTCATCATCCAATTTTGGATGTATATTTGAACTTCTTCTCTCTTGTTTCCCGATTTTTGTATGGATCGGGGCTCAAAAAATCCATACACATCTTGGGTGCGTTGTTCCTCCGACAATTCATTCAAGCATCCTAAAGTAGCCAGCTCAATGTACATTAAATATGACGATAACTTCAAATAACATAATTAGTAAATAAAAATAAATACTTACATTGTCCAAAATTGTAACACTCGCTATGTTTAGACACCGATTGCCAACCGCTATCTCCACAAGCATCGGTGTGGTCAATGTAAAGGGGAAAGTTCTTATTGTCTACCCCTAACTTATCAACATCCCACTTCACTTGAAAAGATTGAATATACAACCGTGGGACAACGAGATAGTAGTTGAAAAATTGGATTTTTCGGGACATCTACTTCCTTACCTTTACTAGTATGGGAAGTAGGAACCGGCTTAGGCAACCTGGGTGGCTTCCGAACATCCTACATAAAATAACATTGACTTGAGAAATAATAAAAAACAAGTACTCGAGACTACATATGATAATTAACGTAAAGTATATGCAAACCTTTTTCAAAATAGGCCCGATTAGATGTCTAGGCCATGCAATGAAGGTCCGGAGGGCCTGTCTCACCGTCATCACCTCGTCCGTAGGCACAGGTACAAGAGCATAAGCATCTCGAACCTCTTCAATGACCACTTTGGTCAAGTTAGGTGCTAAAGGCACACTATGAATTGTAGAGGCCCCTCTTCAATTGAACCAACCGCCACCAATCGTGGTTCGGATCCATCCTCATCAACATAAAATTCACACCGACTCGATTACACAAAAATAAGACATTAATTATTTAATATGCACATGAATTTTTGTCATTAAGATATCATCCACACATACCCGAGTGGTCGATGTACCGCAACAACAACAACAACCTCCCGATTAGTAGCGGGAAGGTCTTGATCAGCCAGTATTTGGCTCAAGACAACTATCCTTAGTGCTAACTCGTGCGGCAGATGGAGGAGGAACATCCATAGGTGGGTGGGTAGTCGTGTGACACCTATGGATGCTAGACTTGAACCAAATACACGCATCATCTCCTCCCGAACTCGTGCGGTAATGGTCGGTGTCGCCGTCGTCGTCAACTCTTCAACCATCGTCGGTCTCGGCTCGCTCGTTAGACTCTCCTCCAATCCGGCCATCTCCTGCCGGCTCAATGATGTTGTGTGGGTATGGTCCGATGATGGAGCTCCAAAATATGCTCGAATACCCACACCAGCTTCCAACAACGACGAACACGCCTCGGGTGTTCCGGGCGTCCAATAGCGATAGTTAATATATCTTCACGACCACGGGGAACGAATGTTCCCTGTTTATACTCGCTCCTCTAAAGAATCCTACAATTGAGCATTATATATTGTAAAAAAAATTGATGAATGACAAAGCATGGTTAATGAGGTTGAAAGAAACTAATTTCACTTACAATCCGCTCAAGCAATCAAGCGGGCCTCCTCCGATGTCATTTCACCGGAGGGCTTTTGCCGAGCCCTCTTCCATTTTTCATGACGCTTTGGAGGAGATGGTGGGGAAATTTCTTCCCGGCTTACACTCGAAGAGGCTAACTCAGCTTCTCTGAGTTTAGCCTTCTCCTTCATCATGCGTTGCGTCAACAAATCATACCCCCACGAGACGATGACAGTGGGGGCCACATTCAGACCTCTCGAATCTCCTTTCCTTTTATTCGCTTCTCCTGCAACATAATATCATATTACAATGTGCTAAATTAATAAGACAATATGGAAACATACCAAAGTTTTTAAATAGTAACATACCTCCCATTGTGGACCAGTCCTACTCCTGACAAACTGCTTCCAAGTTTCCTCATCTATGCCATAACGCTGACAAGGAGTTAATCCTTTGCTAATGGCTTGGTCATTAAAAATCCATTTTGAAGTCAATGTCGACTTGAATTGCC